TTCAAATATGTTTTTTTTCTCTCTTCTGCATTGATTGCCATATTGTAGAAAGGATTGAAGGGAATAAAAAGATAAATATATTAGAGTTAGTTGGGAAGAAAATGAATGTAAGCAACCTCAAAAACACTTCTTTATTTTTTGCATAAGCTTGACTTAGTAAAAGGTGCTCCTTTTCTGTAGGTATGAAACAACGGATACACCAGGAAATTTTGGCTGACCTCCCCGGATCACAGCCTTTAAAGGGATCATTAATTGCAATGGAGAAAGATTTTGGTGGGCTACATCAAGGGGAAAACGAAAAAGCTTTGTTAGGATTATAAAGCACCAGGACTACAGCACCCTCTTATGACTTCAATTCAAATGGACTGGGTGCCCTGCCACTGGCTGGGAGGGCAGGTAGAAGGCAAGGCCAAGTGAGGAGGAATTGGAGGAAGAATGGAGGGAGAGATGGAAGAAGAGATGGAGGGCGAAGGAAGCAGAGGGCAGGGGCTGCAGCTGCCCCACAGGGAGAGTGCAGGAGGGACAGAATGCATCCAAACGGCACCAAAAGGAGTCAGAAATTGTGCTGAGGGCTCCAGAGGACACTGGGTGCTACCTCTGGTGGGCTGTCCCCCCCAGCGTCACTCAGTGCCATCTCCTCGACTTCAGTACTGTGTTCAACCCACTGGATATCACAGAATCGTGGAATAATGGAGTTACTGCAGGGATAATGGGTACACATGGACAAAAGGACAAAGGGACTGATGGATGCAAGAATCGAGGGACACACGGACGCAGGAGCTTTGCTGGGGGTGTTTATTGGTGTTTCTTTATGGGAAAACGGACTGTTCTTTCGAAGATCTGGTGGCGATATGCAGGGATGATCAAGTCCTTATGGAACATGGTGGGGACAGCACAGGGTTCACACCAGTGTTTCATCCTGAAAGTCAAAGTGCAGGCGGTGACCTTATGGTCACTTTATTTGGTCTGTATGGCACCTGAACCCTTTGTGTTCTGTGGGTGACCTTATGGGGTCCTTATGGTACCACGACGATCACTTGCACCTTACAGGGACTGCACTGTTCTTCTTGGATCCTTTTTGATCTCCTCCACACCTCCCAATCCAGAGAGATTTGGGGTCCCCCCACAGCCCAGGACCCTGCAGGATACAGGGGTCCCCCAGTGTCACTCACCTTGATAGGAAGATTCACAACCACGGGATCTGGGAGCGCCAGCAGAGGGGGAAGGGAATGGGAGTTCCGCTTTCCTCGTAGCAACTTAAGCTGCAGTGGGAGAAATGAGGAGATCCCAGTGGGCACCAGAACCTCCTCAAAAACCGCTGAGGACCTGGGGCTCCCCAAATGGGAGGCACCTCCTGAGGGCTCCGTAGTACTCACTCCTAAATCAAAAGCTCCGCTTGCTCCCACCTCGAAGTCATCCAGGAGCTGAGGAAGGAGGATGAGGGACGGTTTGGGTTGGAGTTAATAGGAAAGCATATGGCAGAGGGTGATGCCTTCGCAACAACCCCATATGGCCTCC